TTTTTTTTTTTTTCCGGTACTGGGGATCGAACTCGGGACCTTACGCTTAGCGAAGCAGGCGCAGGAACCACTGAGCTAAATTCCCAGCCCTCCATTTGTTGATTCTTGTTATTTCTGCAGTTGAAGTTCTGTTCAGAAAGTCCTTGCCTGTACTTATTATTTTTTCTTTTTCCAGTACTGAGAATTACTGGGAATTGTGCTTGCCAGGCAGGAGTGGTGGTGCTGAGCTATACTTATGATTTGATTATTTTACGTATTTTTTCTCCCAATACATCCAATATTTTTGTTTAAATGTTTAGATCTCTGATCCATTTTATTTTAGTTTACTACATGGTGATAGATATGAGTCCAGCTTCGGTCTTCTGCAAATAGCCTATCTTCCCAGCACCACTTGTTAAATCGACTACCTTTCCTCCAGCATATGTTTCTGGCCCCTCTGATGAAGATTCCATAGCTTAATGTGTCTGTAGATGTTTCTGTATCCTTTATTCTGTTTCGCTGATCCACATTTCTGTTTTTGTGCAAGTACCACACTTTTTAAATATTGTTGCATTGTAGTATAGCTTGAAGTGAGGTCTGATAATGCCTCCTGCTGTGCTCTGGTTGTCCAAGATTGCTTTCATTGTTCTGGGTCTTTTTCAGTTCCATATGAATTTTAGGATTATTTTCTGTAGGTATGTGAAGAATGCTGCTGGTATTTTTATTGGGATTGTGTTGAATCTACATAACAGTTTTGGAGGTATGGCCATTTTGACTATATTGGTTCTGCCTATCCAGGAGCAGGGGATATCTTTCCATTTTCTGATGTCTCTTTAATCTCTTTTCTGAGTACTATAGTTTTCATTGTAGAGGTCTTTCATTTCTTGGTTAGATTAATTTCTAGGTATTTAATTTTTCTTGATGCTATTGTGAATGGTATTATTTTCATAGTTTCTTTCTCAGTGAGTTCATTACTGATGTACACAAATGGTATTGATTTTTGTGTGTTGGTTTTGTATTTTGTTACATTGCTGAGATTGGGCATTAATTCTTTGTGTCTTCTATGCAGAGTATTATGTTATCTGAGAAGCCACTCACCTCAAAAACTTCTGTAACCTCATTTCTTGCCACGTTATCTCTCAGGATTCTAGGCTCTAGCCAAATCTAATTTTTTTGAACTCATAGTGATTTCTCTTGCCTCAAATATTTATAAATTTCACTTTTCCTGGAAAGCTCTTTCTTATTCTCCTCACCAAGCTAACTTTATACCTATCCTCAGATTTTAGTTTAAACATCAGTTTCCTTGGGGAAGCGTTCCTGAGTCTGCCTAAGAGAATTAGATACTGCTGTTCTTATGAGCTCCATGCTTCCTGACCATCACGCTTGTGGGAAGATGGCGTGAAACTGGTCTTCCTCTCCCACTTCTACCCACTCCTCTCCACACGTGCTCAGGGATGAAACCTGGAGACTGGCTTGGCCGTGGGCCACATAATGAAGCCTAATGTGAGTATATATTGTAGGACTTTGTTTTCTTCTTAGAAAAGAATGAGAGTAATTAAATGCATAAGTGAAGTTCATAGGTCAGAAGGGAAATTATCTTTGGTAGTACTGGAGTCAAAGAAAATGGGATGTGTTTAAGATCTTCTCCCTCAATGAATAAATCTGAGACAATAACAAGAATTTTAGGAGACAAATAGAGGAAGTTCTGGGATGGCTGGCTAGAAAGGAAAGCTCTTCGAGGCTGAAGTAGGCTCTGATGATCAGTTCCCTCAGTTAATTTTTTCCTGCTTTTTGTTAGCTAAAGGTAGACATTGGGCGATGATTGTTTGAGTTGCTGTGAGAGTTTCAGGTGAATGTTGGAACTGAATTTTTTTCAGTCCTGGGAATAACCTTGGTGACAGCTCTTTCATCCACATATAAAACAAAAGGGACCCAGAAAGCTGAAGTGGTTTACAGAGGGTCGCACACATAGTAAAGCAAAGGAAAAGGACAGAATTATTACTTTACCACTGTATGTTTATTTCTTGGAAAAATGTTTGACACATAGGAAGAAATCAATAAGTATTTGTTGGACCAATTAAAAAAAATGTCCAGTTCCCAGGCTTTTGATTTCTTCTGGTATTCTTTCCACTGCATCATAGAAACTTTGGCAGATTTAATAAAAGAGTGTCTTTAAGCAATCAGGACTACTTGTGCAATTTCACAGGATAAGTATCATCACAAAACGTAGGGTTTCCTAGCAACATAATACCACTTTACAAGATATATTAGTTTTTTGGAGCTGTAATAACAAAGTATCACAGACTGGGTGGCCCGAAGAAAAGAAATTTGCTTTCTCACTATTCTGGAGGCTTGAAGTTCAATATCAAGGTGTCAGTTAGGATTAGTTTCTTCTCAGGACTATAAGAATCTGTTCCAGTCCTCTATCCTTGATTAAATTCAGTTCTGAGTGGTCATCTTTTCTCTATGTCTTCAGATCATCTTGTCTCTGTGTTCATCTTCATAATGTGAGAATAGCAGTCATGTTGGATTAAGACCCAATCTAACAATCTAATTTTAATTACCTGTTTAAACAGTGTGTCCACAAATATGGTTATATTCTGAATTACTGAGGGTTAGGACTTCAAATATATGCGTGCATGGCGCGCGTGTGTGTATGTGGTACACTTCAGTCCATAGCACATGGAGACCAGCTTTAACACCTCAGCACATGTAATTCTCTACCCTACTCCACAGCAGCAGCCAAGGTGGTGTTACTAGAGCTCCCAATTTATGGTAAGCAGACAGCTTTCCAGTAGCCTCAAGGGCCTGCCCATACATGTACATTATTCAGGTGGACCAGGAAAGTTGGCTTTCGTATTTCCTGCCAGTGTGAGAAGAGAACAGCTAGAGGGCATGGGTTGACTGACATCTTTTGTTAAACACAAAGTTATTAAAATTGTAATGAAACTACTTTCTTCTTTGGAAGTGGTATTTTCCTGATCTTGTAAAGTGCTACAAGGCTGAAGGGCTTAGATTGCTTTTACTATAATTGTTATTGTTGAACTGTAGCTTAGCTAAAAAATGTGTATTTTAGTAGTCTCCTGGGGCTAGGTATTTATAAAGAGGTTCCCAAATGAATGCCCTTTGGTAGAATCCTGGGGAAAATCATTGAGGCTCTTACAGTGTTTCTGTGAAGACCTATAAGAAAAAGTATATGTTTACTTTAGGAGAAAAATAATTTTGCAGTTAAAAATAATTTGAAAGATGCAAAATTCTAAGATAGTCTCAGGGGATTCCTTGGTTCTATCTTTGTGGATATCTTCCATTCGCATTAAAGTGTAAGAAGGGCGATGCTTCTTATAGAAAGTGCTCCCTTACTGTATCAGAAGGATACTCAGAAGTTATAGATCTAGTTTCCTCATTTATACTATTGACAAAAATGTTGAGTGACTGTAAGGCATTGTCTTATCCATGATCTTCACAATTATAAATGATATATCCTGATCAGGTCTTCTTGGACTTATTCCTAGTTACTAAATGGTGAATACTAAATATAGACTCCAGCAGATGGCACAGAGGTTTATGGATAATAAGATGATAATTTAATACTTTGGCCTGATTATTATTTAGCCTCTTTTGATTCAGTTCCTCATGGATTATGTCGCTTAAGTTACTAGGTCATCTGCTATGTCCATAATGCTGATCTGAAATTTTGGGCCATAGGCTGTTGACCTGACAGTAGAGACCGAAAGGTTGTTGCTTTCTCAGAGGGAATGAGGAGCACCAGCAAGAAAGGGCAGAGAAAGTGCTAGAACCAAGAACAAAAACACTTGGAAAGAGAACTTCAGGGCAGGGATGGAAATAATATAAGGTTCACCCTAACTGGGAAAAATGAATGAGAAAAGTAGAGGGTTCTCTCTTCCTTTTTGTATTTGGGCATAGATGATAGTAACAAAATACCTGTGACTGGGAAGCTATGTCAGTTTCCAGATTAGACCTTGAGTTTCGATTGACACATAATTAAAACAGAAAAAAAATTATTTGCCAACCATTTATTACGTTTTCATACAATGCAATTATTTCAGCAAGTTCTCCAAGGTAATAACAGGTTTCAAAGGAATATGGGCTGATAAATCTTGTTAAGGGCCTCTAGACACTTGCCCCTGTGCTCATACACATCACGTACACACACACTTTTCTCTAAATACGGCTTTTGTGATATCTTATTGCCCCTGTAACAAGATAGATGTTTATAGGGTCCTGATTAGGTTCCCTCTAAATTAAAATGAACAAAAGTGATAACATTTTCAAACCCATCAAAACTTGGAGGACGAGAACTGAGCACTACAAACTATAATAGACATTTTTAAAATTGGAACTCTGAGGTTGTTTGAGAAACACCTTGCTTTTGCTTCATGAGACTTTAAGTGTTTATGTGCAGTTAATTGTAAAAAAAAAATCCAAAATTCTCAATCTTTAAGCTAGACCATATTCTTAGCAAATATTTCTGCCAGTTATGGGCTGATTTCACAGGGAATTTTCCCGCAGAAGTCACTCCTGCATCAATAAAGGATTGTAAACATTCACTCACCTAGTGGAATCTGTGATAATCGTGAGACAGACAGACAGACACACACACACCCAAAAAACATTTTGGAGGTAAAGATTAATGAAATTTAGCCCCAAGAAAAAAAATCAACTATAACTTTTAAATGCATGTAAAATCTCCACAATATGATCAGCCATTAAAAACAGATTTAGTTGTCTTGAGTCTCAAATTGTTGCATTATTCTTGTTAGTTTTGAAGGCAATACATCAATGTGTTCCTCAAACAAAACTCCATGAACAAGTTAAATGACTTTTATGTTTTTAAAAATGCACACCAAATCTTCACCAAAGAGCAAAGACCTCTTGTAGTAAAGAACTACCAGAAGAAGAATAAAAGGCAAGGAGTACAAAGTAATGCAGTTAACCGTAGCTTAAGATTTTGGAAGAAAAGACACCTTCTAACATCAGAGTTTCCCCACTACCAGAAGCACATGAGTTATGACTTGTTACTCAGTGGCTCTCATTTTCTTTTGCTCAAAGCTTTGGCTGGTGTTAGCATGTTGGTAGCAGCTCTTAAGGGCGGAATTGAGATCTCTGCTCTTGGATATACTCATAGAGGGGGCTGGAGCGCACCACTGGAACATGGGCAAACTGGCGTTTGCCAGTCTCCATATCACCCTTTTCGTCTTGGGATTGCCTCTCTCGGACTTGGCTACGTCTTTGCTCCTCTTCTTGGCGCCTGAGCTGCTCTCCTTGGAATTTCCTCTCCCGCTCTACGCGACTTCGCTGCTCTTCTTGGCGCAGTTCTTGCTCCTGACTACTCTTCTCCCTGACAAAGGGCCCCTCGGCTTGGTAGTGACCCTGTTGTTCCTGGCGGCGCAGCTGCTCCTCCTTCCTTTCCTGACGGAGCTGTTCTTCACGGAATCTTCGGTCTCGTTCCTGCCGAAGCTGTTGCTCTCGTTCCCGGCGGCGCAGTTGCTGCTCCTCACGGCGCAGCTGCTCCTCCTCTCTTTCCCGACGGAGCTGTTCCTCCTCCCTGAATTTTCTGTCACGTTTCTGGGGATGCAGTTGCTCTTCCACCCTTTCCTGGTCCAGCTCCTGCTTCCTGTGGAATTTCCTGTCGCGCTCCTGGC